CCGGCTTTGAACAGCGTGGGGGTTCCTGAAATCCAGGTGTTGAGCCGGGAAACGACGTGTTTCCCAGCACTGCTCTGCAAAGAGGGAGGCTGCGTGCGGGGCTGGGGGGCTGCAGGGCTCGGGGTGTCCCCCAGGAGCCGCCTGCGCCCCGGCTCCCTCCCGGTGCTCGTCAGCAGGCACGACGCACAGCGCTGCCGGCGCAGTGTTGTGCCCCAATGCACCGCGCAGTGTTGTGCCCCAATGCACCGCGCCACCGGCTGTCCCTGCTCCGCAGGGAGCAGAAAATTGCATCTCCCTGGAAAAGAGACATTGCAGCCCCGTCTCTCTCCTTTGAACTCCCCTCATTAAAGCCATCAAACCCCAGTCCTAATCGCTTCACACCTGCAGCGCAGGCTGGGTTTCCAGCAGCCCTCCCCAAGCTGTGCAGCACTCTGGGGCGAGCTCCTGCATCCCCGGCCGTTCCCCCCCGCCTTCGCAATCCGCTTTTTCCTCCCAGGTCTCGGCTGCAGCCAGGCACAGGGTTTCTCTTTGCAGCTGGAAGTTTTCCCCGGATCCGGCTCCCAGCGCTGCAGAGGGGAACCTGCTGGCCCTGGCCCTGCCTGAAATAGCCTTTACCGTTCTTTTTTTTTCTTCTTTGAAAGGTTTATTCTGGTGGGTAACGAGGGGGGAGACCGCTGGGATAGGGGAAAACCACGGAGCAACCCAACCCAGGCAGTTAATGATGAGGGAGGATGCAGTGGCCGCAGCCAGGAGACAAAAATACTGGGAAGAGCCACCAGAAGCATCTTTAAAAAGAAAACCTGTGGCTGGCGGGAGGGGCGGCGGGGCTGGGGGGCAGGAGGCACCCCGATACCTCCGGGCTCCCCAGGGCACTGGGCAGAGGATGGGGGCGAGGGGCCCGCAGCCCTTCCACTGGCATGGGCGCCCCGTGGACCCCCAGCACCTCTGGGTTTGCACCCAGGGGCGATGTACTGGGAGCACTGGGAGCCCTGGGGGGAGCTGGCCCCTGTCCCCCGGCATTGCCGACAAACCGCAGCTTGGGGGTGAGGTGCCTGCTGCTTACCAGCACCGGCTGCCCTTCAATATTTAATGATGGCTGAAGCGTGCTTCCCAGGCAGGGGGCTCGCCGCGGGGTTACAAGAAAGCGATGATGGGACTGGGAGAGCTCGGTCTCTGCAGCGGCAGAAATGCACGGGGGGGACAGCAAGGCAGGGGCGACAGGCGTCCCAAATACCCGATGGGGCCCACATGGGACAGGGTCACGGCCCCTGGAGCCGCAGCAGCATCACCCTCGCCCGGCGCTTCCCCGGCCCCGCTCAGCCCCGGCCCTCCTGCGCTCGCCATGAGGTTGGCGCTTGCTCGCGGTGCCCGGCGAGCCCAGGGGAGCTTCCCTGCACACCGCCGAGTGCTGGAAAACGGCGAAGACTGACTAATATTCCCCAAAATCCGGCTTTGTCTTGGTGATTTGTGTTCACGTTTGGCCGATGCAATATTGAACAGATGCCCAGAGGGACTTTGGTACTTAAAAACAACGCACAGGAGGTAAACAGGGAGATTTATTATTTTACTTTTGTGGGTTTGAGATAGTTTATGGCACCGGGCTAATAACTCACAAACCAAAATCTTCATTGATCGGGGGAAACGTTACGTTATCCTCCCCCCGCGCCCGGAGAGGCCGCTCCCCCGCAGCCACCCCCTGCCCCGCTGCCTGCTGGGGAGGGACCCATCCTGGCACAGCCCTGGGGCACAGCCCCACAGCCCACAGCGGGAGGGAAGCAAATCCCCAGTGTCCAGGGCAGCCTCTCGGGAACCCTGTGGTGCTGTGGATTCAATATTACTCGTGCCGGGACTGGCAGCAGGAGTGTCCCCCGCCGCGCTGCCCAGCTCGCAGCATCCCTCCCTCCGGCCTCCTTCTCCCTCCTAATTGCAACGGTGGGACCACAGGTCCCATCCTTCCCCGTTATTGACAGCTAATTAATTGCCTCTTGTCACATTCCCCCAGGGAAGCGTCCACCCCAGCGATCGATCCCTGCTGCTGCTGGGTTTTGGGAGCCTCGACGGCATCCCCATCCCACAGGGGCCGGAGGAGAACCAGCCCGGCACCTCCCGCAGCGGCCGTGCACAGTGCGGCCCTGCGCCGCGGCACCGGGGTGGCCGGGCCGGCGGGCGATGCTCGAGGGCAGCCCATCGGCGAGGCTGCGGCCAGGCCAGAGCCCGGCGAGGGGAGAAGCGCAGAGGCGAGCACCCCGGGCCGCTCTCCTGCTGTCTCACGCCGGCATATTTGTGTGATATATACTGTAAATCTGCTTCATCTGAAATTCATGGTTAATGACTGAGGTGCTCTCATCCAGGAAACTCCGCGAGGTTCCGGCTTTTAAGGGAAAAGATGTAGCCGGGCAGGAGTTGACAAGCACCGCAGAGAGCTGCCCCGCTCTCCAGGCACTTAAGTCTCCAAAAGAAACATCAGCCCCCCCAGGAAGGCTGAGATTTATCGGCCCTCAGGGCTGGAATCCCAAACCGTCTCACCCCATGTCCCCCAGCCCATCGTCCCGATCCGAGCTACGATCCCGGAACGACGGGCTGTAACACGGACAGGGAACGCGTGGGCAAAGCTGGCCCGCAGCCCCTCGTTTGGCCGGCGGCGGGGATGCCCGGCAGCACCCTCCGCGCCGGCCCAGGGCAGAACGGGGTGGATTTTCCGCTCTGCCCACCCGCCGGCTGCTGGCACTAAAGGCAAACCGTCGCCATCGGTTGAACTATACGATCGGGAGCCTAATTCAATACACTCAGGCTCAGCGTTGGAGGGCTGAGCATTTAGCTGAAACCCTAAGCCAGCCCTGCAGTAATTTGGCTGGGGAGGAATTGATTTTGACCATCAGCACTTTCTCATTTTCAATAGAGTACGAACGTAACCAGGTTAATTTCTGTTAAGCACATTACCCAGGTACTTTTTGCTCTCCAGCCCAATGATTATGTGTCTGATCTGAAAGATTATAATTGCAACCCAACAGGACACAAACAGTAGTCTGTGATTGAAAGGAACCGGACTGAAAGAAAACCAGCTTCTCTTCTACCTAAAACCCAAACAATCTTCACGTTTCCCTGCTCTCCAAATTTCTTCATGGTTAACGACCACAGGCAATAAAGCAGTTTATGAGATCTGTTCCAATAAGCAAATACGCTCTGATTAATCTCATCTTCCAATACACTACCACGTCACCCAGCTCGCTGGATTAATGCAGTTGCTGCAAGTCTTACTTGGTCCTACGCAAGTTTGAGGTCTGATTTTCTTCTTTACCCAAACCAGCGCTTCTGCCTGCAAAGGGCTTCCCAGCGTGTTGATCCCAGCCCCGCGCTGGTCCCAGCCCCGGGGCTCCCGGCCACGTGGGGCTCCCGGCCACGGCCTCTTTTCCTGCCCCCAGTTTTCATCCCGGTGACAAAGAAGATTTGGCCGTGGGTCTGAGATTCCCAGATGTCAGCACGGCTCTGGGATGGCACGGCAGCGAGCCGGCCCAGCGGGAGCACGGCAAACCAACCCCGTGTGTGCCACCCCTGCTCCCCCCTGCGCTTTCCCCCAAAATCAGCGGTGGGGAAGCGGCCCCACTGCCCGGCTGAGGACGTCCATCCCCCCGCCGCCACCACCCATCCCGGGCTGGGGCCGGGCTGAGCGCAGCCTTGCCTTGTCTCCAGCCCTGCCTGCACATTATTCCTCCTGATCATCGTAACGTTCTTCCGCTTCTAAAGCACCTTTCATCACGAAACAGGATGGAGCGCGGCAGCTGTTGAACAGCATGGAGCTGCGCCGCACAGGCAGGGACGGGCAGGAAGTGGAAGCGGCTCCTGCAGCTGCTGGGACCGCGCAGGAGAGCTGTACTCACGCCACCGCATGCCGGGGCCTTATCGCATCCCCCGGCACGCTCACGGCTCCCTTCTGACACGCAAGACGCCCATGTGGCAGGTTGCACGTGACGGCACCGGTCTGACACGCGGCGGCTGGGGAGGGGCGAGCTCCCCTGCGGGACCACGGGGAGCAGAGCCGCCCTCGGCCGCAGCAGAGCATCGCGCCTTCCCGCCCTCTCCGGCAGCACCTGCACCCGGCGCCAGGACCCGCGGTGCTGCAGGTCCCGGTTGTGGCATTGCAGCTTTGGATCGTGACATTGCACACTCAAGCCACGGCACTGCACGCTCAAGCCACGGCATTGCACACCCAAACCACAGCATTGCACACCCAAGCCATGGCACTACACACCCAAACCACGGCGTTGCACTCTCAAGCCACGGCATTACACTCTCAAGCCATGACATTGCACACCCAAACCACGGCATTGCACTCTCAAGCCATGACATTGCACACCCAAACCACAGCACTGCACACCCAAACCACGGCATTGCACTCTCAAGCCACGGCATTGCACACCCAAACCACGGCATTGCACTCTCAAGCCACGGCATTGCATGTCCAAACCACGGCACTACACACCCAAGCCATGGCATTGTACATCCAAACCATGGCATTGCACGCCCAAGCCACAGCATTGCACACCCATGCTTTGGTGTCGCAGGTCCGGCCACGGCGCCGCATGCCCAGCTCAAGCCGCCGCTGCCCGCGAGCCGGGCGCTGCCGTGGATCAGCCCCGGAGCTGCCCTGCGAGGGTGGGAGACGGAGGCTGCGCCGCGGGGCAGAGGCAGCGAGGGCGGACGTTTAGGGAGGAGGCGCTGATGGATGCCTGGCTCGGGGCCGGCCGGCCCGCAGTCCTGGCTAGCGTGTTCAAGCGCGAGCCGGGCGCGCTGCAGAGCTCGCTTCGGCGCGCCCTGGGGAGCGCGCTGCCGCCTCTGTCGCGCTGGAGCCACAATTATTTTTCTGAGAAATGACATGAACCCCTCCCTTCCGCGCTGCCCCGGCCATCTGGGCAGCCCGAGGAGCCTCATGCCGCGAGGACGCCCGGCCGCCTTCGCAGGGGCACTGGGCCGCGCGCCCTGCGGACCCCGATAACCGCGTCATGCTTGCTGCGGCGGATGGGAGGTAAGCAATGCTGCTCCCCCGCCACCCCTCGACCGGGATCTTCCCCTTTGAAAGGACAAATATAACCGAGATGAGTCAGTTCCTCCGAGCTCCCATCCCCTGTACAATATGTAACTGGAATTTTTCATTTCGGCACTGCAGGGGAGGCATAACTGGAGAAGACAATGGAGTCAGCTACGACCCAAAAAAGCAGTGCCAATTCTGTGTGCATGAGAAATAAAAACATTTTTTAATCTAAAAATAAATTAACTGTAAGTGACAGCAAGAGCAGATCTGCATGTACTCACTGTCAGCCCGCGCAGGACCAGTCCCTGCTCCTGGCGCAGGGCGGCTTTGGGTGAATTCCCCGCTCTTTCAGGCCGGGTTGGGATTCGCAGCAGTGCCACCAAGCCGGGGAGGCACTCGGCACCTGCACCAGGAACCAGGCTCCCAGAGCTGGCATCGGACCCAGAAGCAAATCCACAGAAGCCAGGGAGACCTCTCGGGTTTATTTCATAACTGCATTACGGCAACGAGAAGGGAAAAGAGGCTCCACCGAGCTCAGGGCTTGGCTGGGCCAAGAAACTGCACAAACCCAGAAAAACCATCCAGCTTCCCGTGATTAAATCAAAGGGTAGCGAGTGCGCAAGCGGCCGATGGCCTCATTCTGCAGCTGAGCCCTGGCCACCCCCGTGTCACGGAGCAGAGCAGACACCCGGGGCGGCCTCTGCCCGCAGCCCGCCCTCCTCCCCTGCCGCTCCCCCTCCGCCTGCGCCCAGCGTGCGTTTGGGGGAGACCGGGAGCGACCGAGCGCCCAGGTGTCACGGGAGATCCTCTGGATGCGCCAGGAAATAAAAGGCGGGACACGGCCAGGGCTGCTGCTGCAGCGGCAGCAAGGCGTTTCTCTCAGCCTCCCTTTGCTCCTTTGATCACCTGCGCTAAAAGCGGCGGGACGCCCCTCGCCGCAAAGGGCTCGCAGCCGGCGAGGACAGGACCTAAGGGACAACCTCAGGGCAGAGGGGCCGGCAGCTCCAGAAGGAGCAGGGAGGCATTGGTAAAGCCACGGCCCGAGCACGTAACTCGGGTTTTGACAGCGCGCTGCCCAGTTTACTGCGCAACGACATCAACCACTTCACTGGCTGCTTCTTCCAGAAATCTCCCTGCTTCCAGAAATCTCCCTGCTTCCAGCACCAGTGGTCCCTGTCCCCAGCGCGGTGGCAGCTCGCTCCACGTGCGTGGAAATGTGACGCCTCCCAGCCAAGCCGTGAGGGTTTGGACAAGGCAGGTGAGGGGGGACACCCAAAACCCAAACCACGTCAGGACAATCCTCTCCTTTTTCTTAAGACGTTCTCGACAGGGCTGTATAAAAGCCTTCTGCCTCCCATTCTTTGCCCCAGTCTGCTCGGTTTTACAGCACTGGCTTCACTGGGTTGGGTTTCTTTTTTTTCCCTCTGACTTGACTCCTTGCTGGGTAACAGTGTATTTGATATTTTTAATCACTCAGCATGCATCAGAGTTTGGCAGCGGAAGAAAGTGAAGTTAAAAGAGAACAGAGATCGCTCGCGTTTGCCAGGGCTGCCTGCCATCGCCACAACCCCGCTTCGCTTGTGCTCCATTTCCCTCTGCTGGAAAGTCACGAGCCGCAGCTGACAGGGTCAATTTAAAAAACATATCGTCGGCTGGCAGTTATGAACCTTCTGGGGTTTGGATTGTTTCTTCAAAGAAAAACAAAAGTCCTGAATCCTTCTACCTTTACTGTACAAATATAAGGACGTTACACATACATCCACACAGATGCATGTCGATATCACTGATAAATCCTTATCGCAGATCTACATTTGGCTTTGTAAGGCTGGCAGATCCTGGCCACTGCAGCAGTATTACGGAAATTTTGACTTTCTTTGCTCAGAAGTTGCAGCAAAACCTTTATCGCTTTGTTTTCTATGAGAGCTACAACTTTCTCCCTGAACAAACCTGTTGTGGGTAACCCGAGCGATTCCCGGAGGGGCCGAGTGGACGGACGGCGCAGACAGACGGACGCTGTTTCTTGGTTTCTCATCCTGCACCAGGCTCTACCCCGGATCTCGCCGGTGCCTCCAGGTGAGCTGAGGCACAGCAGAGTTCAGCTGGTCCACGTGCTGCTCCCTTACCCTGACCACGAAGCCTGCGTCACCCCATCGATTCCTTGAAGAAGAGAAAAGGGTTGATTAACAGCGCTCACCGAAGCGCGGAGGCACTTGGAGCCCGCAGCAGGTCGCCTGCCCGGGCGTTACTGTCTGGCATACAGGGGTCATTTAAAGATTGCTTTCCAGACGGCTCCGAGATGCAGCGACAAGGCTTTAAATCTGCCTCCAAAGACAAAAAAGGAGAGCCACCGCTTTTCGTCCGCTTCTCCTCGGCAGACGGGAATTAAGCCCAAACCGCACTGGTGCCGGGTGCCGACCCCAGGCTGGCGCAGGGCAGCAGGGACCGGGGCTCCCGGCGAGGCCGCGGCCGCCTCGCAACAGCCCCCTGCCACCCCGGCTCGTTTTAAATCAGGCAGGGGAAAGGGGAGGCCGCGACTGGAGGCCGTCGCGACAGACCCAGAGACCAGAGGGCGGCGGGGAGCGGAGCTTGAACCCTCTGCAGCTCCGGGGGGGGGGAAACCCCGCAGGCGCCGAGGCGAAGAGCACCGAGGGG